ACCTGAAAGGAAGTTGTAGGGAGATGGGGGTCAGTCTCTTCTCCCACATTATGAATGACAGGACAAGAGGGAATGGCCTTAAGTTGCACCAGGGGAAATTTAGGTTACATAACAGGAAAAATTTCTTTACAGAGAGGGTTGTGAAGTACTGGAACAGGCTGCCAAGGGAGGTGGTGGAGTTCCCATCCCTGGAGGAGTTTAAAAACCGTGTGGATTTGGTGTTGAGGATCATGGTTTAGGGGCCCTGACAGTGCAGGGTGAACGGCTGGACTCGATGATCTTGAGGGTCTCTTCCAACCAGACGATTCTATGATTCTATGATTCATCCACTGAGGTGCCTGGTGATGAAAGATGTAGCAGGGAATACGTGCAAGGGATACGCAGGAAGGTTGGGCAGGAAGGAGTTGAGGTCAGAAGGAATTGTTAGCCTGCTTTGGAGGCTGGGAAGGGGTTCCAGTGTGGCTGCACTGAGGTAGTTGTTGATGGGGACTGAGGGAGCAGAGGCTACTGGTAGCACACTGCTTGAGATACAGGGGTAGCAGTGTGGGTGCAAGTGCTGGTGTGGGTGGTGCTGACCGTAGTGACTGAGGTTACGTGAGCGGTGAGCCACTGTGTAGGCGATCCCTGCCGTGAATGTCTGGAAAGTCACAGCACTTGAGTTGCAGTAGATGGGATCTGCTTGCTTCTCTAAGGACATAACGGCAGTGTAGTTATGGATTGAGAAAGTGCTGGTAGCCATAGTGGGGGCCTGTCAAGAGTTATGCCTCATCGTTTATTTGTTTGGGAGAAGATATAAGTCTTGCCCTCTTCAAGTGTTTTCCTACTGGTTTAAAATCTGCAATCAGTTCTCAGTTCCCCTAAATATGTTTCCTTCTAAATTATGTGTATGTATCTGGTTGGCAAAATCCAGCAAATCTGTTATTGTAGTGGGGGTTTACCACCTTGTTGTACAGCTTGGAGGCTTTCTTGTTACTCCCAGGGGAGGAAGTATTTCATAAATGTATCACTAGAGCTCACTTGGGGCTGGAGTTCCCAAAAAAAAAAAACCCTCGAAATATTTTCAAAGCATTGCTGCTCAAAATGTTTCAGTTTGCATCCAGTTTTAAGCAGGGGATTTGATTATCCTTTTAGTGGAAGGGATAGAAATAACAATTAAAAAGAAAGTTCAGAGTTGCTGCAGTGATCTTCCATTTCTGAGGAATATCAGTAAAATAAATGCTCAAATGAAAGTGAAATCAAAACCACTCCAGTTAATTCTGCACTGAAGAAGGATGAAAGGTTCTTTTTTATACTTAAAAATGTATCCTGTATTTATGTATTTGGGTGGGAAATTTTGCAGGGATCTAGGGAGGCTAAGTACCTAACTTCCTGTCTCATTGAGATTTTTTTCTTAATTCCCTTGGCCTTTTTAAAAAATCTCAATCTTGCAGCAGTCATGTGTTTGGGATTTTTAAAAGTTTCATGAAAAATATCGTACTGATAAACTAAAGCTCGACTTGAACTGGTATCTGCAAAGGCTGTGTGTGAATATTAAGGACTTAATACGGCTTCAGACTCAAGTGAATGCTCAGGTATGAAAGGATTCTTTCTCGGATGGTAAATGTCCGTAAGGGTTACTGGAGTCAGGTGGTGATACTGTGACACCAACATGATTGTACTGAAGTTTCACAGCAGAAATATTTTACTAAAGTGTAGCAAGCACTAAAACTTTGCTCTGAGACACTTCAGAAGTTCAAAATATTGCTGGTGGGAGTCAGAATTTTCCAAGTGTTTGTAAATTGAATTAGCTGTGTCTACAACATAAATAATCAGTTGGTGTGAAGACTGTGATTGGCAGATCTAGAAAATCATCCTATGAGTGTGAATTTCTTTCCAGCAGCAGAACAGAAAAAATCTGCACAAGCAGATTTCCAACAGAACAGAAGTAAAATTCTTCTGGATAGAACATTACGGAAAAGATATTCCAAGGTCTGAGGAGCTGCACGGGGACACAGACTCCAAGGTATGTGTACGCTTTCTTTCACTGACCTCGCAGAGCTGCCGCACGGTGCGCATTCCTTTTACCTGCCTTTCTGAAACACGCCACGCGCTGCCTGCCCTCAGCACCCTCCCTTACTCCATCGGCAGGAGTCACCTGCTCACTTAGGGTACAAAGTTATTTTTTGTACAGAAAGCTGACCTTGCCTTGCTTCAGGGCGTGCTGAATGCAGCCAGAAGGCATGCGCCGGTGTATGGATTAGAGTGAATCCGTCGATGGTTGCTTTAACTTCTTACCCTTCATTTTTATATTAACTTGGCAGGCTTGCTGCGTGGCTTTCCACTTTTTTTTTTTTTTTCTTTTCTGTTTCCTTGTGCTCATTTTAGTAGGAAAAGTATCTGGCCTGCTGTATGGAGTCACAGAAAAAGCTGGTATCAGTTTTAGCTATTAGAATGATAATTGTTAGAATTCACTACTTAAATTCAGGAAAACAGTTGAGTATGAAAACAGGTTATATATGATATTTCTACTCGTTCAGCAATAAAACCTCATATGTTATATGAACTAACCCGGTTTTGGCATTTGGTTTTGTGACCATTAAAAACGAGGGATCTTCATAAGTGCCCTTTTCTTATGACTTTTTTATTTCGTATAACGTATACTACCAGTTCCATTACAGAACTACTCATTGTCCGTTGAATTTTGGGGTTGGTGGTTGTGACAACACACCCAGGGAATACTACTAACATGCATATTCCTTCAGAGAGGGGTTTTGTTCCGGCTCTGACAATGACAACTGATACCAGAGTTGCAGTGAA